GGGGGGGGGGGGGGGGGGGGGGGGGGGGGGGGGGGGGGGGGGGGGGGGGGGGGGGGGCTCATGTTTTGCATTCCATAGCGGTTAGACCAAGCGTTCTCGAGGGGGCGGAGCATTGCTCTAACAGGACCGATCACCGATGGCCAATCATTCCTCCCTACCTGGCTCAACACTGTTTTTTCCCTACCTGTTCAATCCTATCGATATCACTCCCGAAAGGGGGAAGGGACACGCGAGAGGGCGATTAATGTGTGATAGTAAGGTCCTCGCTGTCGATCCTCCTGTCGATGAAGTTCGGCACCGCTGGGACCAGATCAGGCCGTCTTTTTTGCCCTCCTCGTGTTCATTCGACGGCACAGAATACGCCGTCATGAAGAAACACGGTCGGTCGCTGATGCCCGGCTTTGTTCCTTCTCTACCAACTGGATTTCATGCAAACGCATGCCGTTTGGCGCAGACACGTGCCGTTCATAGTGGCGTGAACAACGAAATGCGCACGTGCCGCCGCTAGCGCTACCACCACCAGCAGCCTCTCGCCATCCTCCACGCAAGCAAATGCCGTTCAACGACCAAAGACGCAGGTGCGGTAGGGCTATTGCTGTCACCACCAGACGTGTAACCAAAAACTCTCTCGCACCACGTGAGCAACGCCTCTCCCAGGGGGGGTAGCTTCTAGCTTGCCCTTGCTAACATCTTCAACAACAGCCTGCAAGTGCCTGGAACGCCATCAAGCACCGCCACACGTCTCGGAATGCCTATCTCACCTCCTTCAGGTTGGCGAGGCCCGAGATAAGCGTGTTCCCGGCCTTCCCGAGGAACGTGTTCTCCTTCAAGAACTTGCCTGGGACCAACGAAAAAAACAATGCAGCAGTAGCAGAAGCAGCAGCAGCGTACACAGCCCATCAGGGGAGGTTGAGTCAGCAAGAAACAAGACTTTCCCACCCATGTTTCACCCCTTTCCAGCAGCACCACCAGCAAAGAACACACAACCCCCAATGGCCAATTAACCACGATGCCGCGCTGTATGCCTACTTCATGCCAAGCCGCGGCATGCCAAGTCTTGATCAGAGGCCCTCACACACTGCCAATGCCGCGCCAAATACTGCATGGTGCGGCATACCAAGCCTTCCATCGGAAACCCTCACTCACCGATGATGCCATACCAGTTGGCCCTCATGGCGGTGCGCAGGATGGGGTTCTTGAGGAGCTCGACAGTCCAGTCGATCGTGTGTACCTTGGCCACGATGGCGCTCAAGCCCAGGCGAGCCTTGCGGAATATCTCCTCGTCTTCACGAACAGATCCAGGGACGATATGACGATTAAGAAAACAGGAACGATAGAGGGGGCAGGAGGAGGGGGGCGCGCAAGAGGAGATGGACGCCCAAGCGTGGATTAGTTTCGTAAACGTGTACGGTTTTTTCTTTGTGCCACAGCGCAATATTTTCTGCCTGCTGTACATGCCCCCCGCCCCCCTTACCGTTCCAGGTGGGGTGCGCAGCGGCGATCTCGTCCGCGATCGAGTTGTGCTCCATCGAGAAGAGCGCCTGCAGGAGGGACACGCCGACCCACGAGTTCTTGTTGTCGCCCGAGGCGATGTTCCCCTCTGGGGTGTGGTCCATGATCCCGTCGCTGCCGGCCAGAATCTTGCCGCCCTCGAAGGTGCGGGTGCGCCTATGGGTCTCCTCGTCGCTGCCGTAGACGAAGGACACGTCCCACCAGTGGGTGCGGGGGTTGCGGTAGGCCTGGTGGTTGTTCGTGCTCGCGGTGGCGCCCGTTTTCTGCGTTTCGATGATCGGAGACAGGCGTTTGGGGAGTGTAGCGGGGTAACGGGATGGTGATACGCTTGGTTCCGACAGCCTGATCGTGTTCCTTTTCGCGTCACAGTTTTTTGGTCAAACGCGTACAGGTGGTAGCATGGTAAATACCTGGTATATTTTTGTTGTTTGCAGCGAGAGGGAGGAGGGGAAGGGAGGGACGAGGCAAGGGGGCTCACGCGCATGGTACATATAGGCATTACGAGATGAGACGTGAAAGCGGTTCAACCAAGATGCGCGAGAGTTGTCCACGGCTATGCGCTTGTCTCATTATCTCGATGCATCATGTCCATACCACGATCGGGTTTTGCAAAGGGATCATTCCTCTCCCTTAAGTCTCACCACCGCCCCCGACTGTGTGCAACAAGCAACCAAGACCCAACGACCACATGAGGCAAAACCCTTGGTTTACAACAGCCCAGACACCAACGTGAAAAAAAGCCAGACAGGACCCAACATTCTAGATAGGCACAGTCTACGGCCAAAACACCCCCTTCACGTCAGGTGTGTGTGAGGATCAGCACCAACAACCTAAAAGTCGTCGCCAAAAGCCCAAGCCCGCGAAAACCCAACCAGAATAAAGAGGGCTCTTCCTTTCACAGGACAAGCCGACTCGCGCTGACCTTAAACTTGAACTCGTTCATAGGGCAGCCATGGGCCGCGCCGCCAGACAGCTCGGTCGGATCGGCCTCCGTATGGTCCACCCAGTCGTGCTGCGAAGAGGAACGGCAAGGCAAGAGGGTACATGTACAATTAGCGCCTGTACTTCAGAAGTTTAGGTCGAGGCTGGGGATCTTGGGGTCCTAGGGTCTTATGATACAAAGGGCCGTTGTACAAGTTCTCAGCGAAGGGGTTCGTAACCGAGCTCACAAACGGTGCTCAAGTTCACAAATCTTGAATTTTCGAGCCCCCAACGTCACTCTTGCCTAAGCGTCGTGGATATCGAAGACAACCCGGGCAACGGAAACAACAACCCCCCCCCCAATAAAAAAGAACAGGTGGGCATCCCCCTCCCCCACACCCATCCCCTCTCACCACCATGGCCTGGATCCAAGCCGCAGCGAGGATGTTCAGCTGCGCGCCGGCCGGCTTGAAGTAGTCCTTGTTCGGTCCGGACGGGCGGCGAGCCAGGAGCTTCTGCGCCACAAGAAAAGGGTCGGGGATGTTCTCGCGGCGAGAGCCGGGCGCGTAGCCGGGGCAGTTGCGGCCCAAGGCCTCGTTGGCTCCGCCGGCGGCGGGGCAGTCGAGCTCGTTGTAGTGGCCGGTGATGGTACGGTGGTACACGGGAACGCCTCCAGCCGGGGGCGGGGGGACCACGGGAGGGTTGACCTCGTCCACCTGGTTGGGGGGAGGAGGGGGGGCGGGTGCGCATGCCTTCGCGGTTAGGTAGAACATTGACCTCGCATCCCTACAAGGGGGGGAGGGGGGGGAGGGTTCTCTGATAGTAGTGCGTGCCGTGGTCGCAAGCGTTTGGGTGACGTGCTCTTATGTTTTGCATGCCCTAAGCGGTTAGACCATTGACACCGCGTCCTCTCGAGAGGACGGAGCACTGTTCCCACACCGATCCCTAATCATTCCTTCCTACTTTGGCAAAGCTGGCTCAAAAATGTTACTTTTTTGTCATAATCTTTTGAGGGGCTGGGATGAAAACGGTACAACAGAGGAACAATCTCCAGCTCTCCTGGCGAAACAACGACTGTGGTGAGGGTGCCCACGTTTCCCTATATCTGTGTGTGCCAACAATCTGCTTTCGATCGCCCAGCGATATTCACGGGGGGAAGTTCAAGCACTGCGGAGTGCGTTTACACACTTGCTGCGCAAACCTCCTGATGCAAACGGCTTCATGTATCGATGACGACGACCCTTGAGGAACTTCGGCATACCGACGGTTGGAACACATTTGAAATCGTCTTCGGGCTCAAACGCCGTTTCCACAGCGCCCGTGTCCAATTTCAACCTCGTACTGCGCAAAGTTGCCACGTTCATTCTCTCGTCTCTGCGCCAAATACACTATTCCGCCAGTAAAACGCGGCGCAACGAGACACGAAACCTACCGGCAGGAGGTTGAACTTGTTGAGGAAGATCCGGCGCATGTAGAGCGGGACCAGGCCGCACTGGCAAGGCCACCTGCAGGCATCGGCGGCCCGATGGCACCATGGCCGGAAACAGCGGGGAAAGGAAAGACACGGCGAGTATGAATAATGGAACGAGGACCGATTCATTGGGTTTGGCAACACGGGGGGTGGGGGTCGTGGGACTGCTGCACGCTTGCAACTGTCGCTTTTTTTCTACACGAGAATTAATGTATTAATAGAAGAAGGGAAACCCAAGGCGGGGCAGTGATGATGATGATGACGCATTCACGCACTTATTTTTCTTTTCCTTCGTACTTCATCAGGTTAGATCAAAGAGTCTGCCATGTTGTTGTCGTCGTCTTCACCGTTCCGATCTCTCTTCCCATGCACCTTCATCTGTCCGTACTGATACAAGCACTTGACCGGTCGATTCCCTTGGTCACAAGGATGATGACCTCACAAAAAAAAGGTATGGTACTACAAAAAAACAAAATCGACCCGAAGGGTCCGCAAGCCAATTGACACCTAGGGCGGATGATCTGGAGCCCTCCGCTCCCCTCTACTACTGTACACGCTATGTACGTGCGGTAGAAGCGAAACTGGAAGTAAACATTACAGGCCAGGGAGGGAGGTACGCAGAGAAAAACATAAACTTCACACACAAAGAGAGAAGACCATCCTCCCGTTGTAGTTACAGAGGAGAGGATTAGTCTTTATGATTTATTGCAGTTTGTTGTTGAAACGATCAAGAATCACGTAACGACTACCTTTTTTGTCGCCCCGACGGTCTAGGTGGTGACTTCGCGGCGTTGTAATTATCTGCTCAGAGGTTCGAATCCCGGCGTATGCGAGCTTTCTTGCAACGGGAGTTTTTCTCTATTCAATAGCTTGCGTGACGCTTCCGTGACCACGGGTTGGAGTAAACGACACTACAATAGAGCTGTGAGCGCTAACTTGAAGTGAGGACAAAAAAAAAAAACCGGCAGTGTTCCCAGGTAGACACTGCGCAAGGATTCTGGTGGACCGCTGTCGAGATGGAAGAAGCTCGCAGGGCCACCGCTTTCTTTTACCATTTTTTCATCATTTGCGGCCTTCCTCCTGGTTGAGGGTCCAGAATTTATTACATACGGGCCAGTCCGGAAGGTGTAAAAGGACTTACGTACGTCGTTCCAGAGAGGGATGATGGCGAAAAAACAAAAACGATAAAAAAAAACAAACGATTACCTAAAATTACAACTCTTTCTTTGCCAGGTATTTACCTCTTCGTGCAAGAGATGGAAATAACTCGGTTGATTTTTGGAAAAAAAAAAAAAATGTCGTCGAGCAACGTCGAGGGTTGAATGAAGGTCAAGTAGTCGATGGAGCAAGTGTGTGACCTATTCATCTAAATCTGTGATTCCACCGGCTTGACCAGCAGCAGTGGCTCTGCTGCGTGCAGGTAGCTCGTGGTTGCACAGATAAATTAACAGCTGTCGACATTTTTCGTGCTGTGGTGGTCGATTTGTGTGCAACGACAGAAGAAACTGCTTTTGTGTGCATTGCGAATCGCGCCGCCAGGTTGACTCTGCACCCAACATGCGCATGTTCTTACATACTACTAGCTAGCCAAGCGCGGAGGGAGGGGAAACGCCGGGGGG